TTTACATACATTACATTCTCCCCCGTCTTACTCTCCTGACCACTCCAACTACTACACTTACAGTTTTATTGCTACTATTATTATTGATATTATACATATATATTTATATGCGTATATATTTCAACTTCAAATTTAATTGGCTGTCTGTTATTACGTCTTCTTTGGTTCATTTTCCGTCTTTTAGTCTGAATAACCCACATTGATTATCTGTTATTATTATTATTATCATCATTATTATCTCTTTTCCTTTGCCAACGATAATTGAGGACTAACTGGTGAAATTTTAAACTCCATTCATGGTAGTAACAAAGTCTTAACACACCGCATACTACAAACATGTGCGTCGGTGGCACAGTGGTTAGGACTCTCGCCGACCATGCACATGGTCCGGGGTTCGAGCCAACGCCGACGCACTCTTGATATCTATGGTCGGCCTGCGAATTTTGGGCTACCGATATCCACGCTGAAAATTCCACACTTGTTCCAAAAATACGGTTTGGAATCAAGCTGTAATCAAAAATAAAAATAAATAAATAATCCCAGCACCACTCCTTTTAGAGTCATCCAAAGCTACCGCAGCCGAGTGATGAGACGGAATATTCAAAATTTTATCGAAAATCAGAAACATTTACCTCACAATCAATAAGTGAGCACAAAAAAATCAAATTGGTGAAAACGATATTGGATATTGGAAGGCGCGTAGTTTTAGTAAAACGTTACATCGCTAGGGTTGGTCGAATTTTCATGTTACTTTTGTTCCATGACTGCGTCAGCTACTTAAACGTGGTTAAAACCTAAGGCTTCACTTAAAAACATTGTGCCAAACAATCCACGAAGCTTTGAAATTTGTTCGTCATAACCTGTTTTACTTGAGTTGAATTAAAACATTTTCTAACATGTCATAAATTAGAGTCCAGTTGCATAATTGATCTACTAATTATATGAAGACCATGGCGTTCGATTACATTAGATGTGGCTGTATAGAATTCATAAGCCTACCAAGTTAAACTTAAGGCACCACTGGGTACCAGCTGGTACCTAATGGAGCGCGACCACACCACTGATCAAGTTAGTAAAACCTGGTAAATAACATTGTATTCATAGATAAAATGTACTTAAGAGGGTTTTATGTCATTAAATAGGATATTTGATAGGCTTCCGGTTTGTTTTGGGAAAGACAGTTAATATAAAAAAATTTTAAAAATTTAGGCTAAAGTGCGTTCAGGATCATCTGTTCATTGGTACTTACTAATGCTTAGAGCTCAACACTCCCCGTAAGCCCCACAAACAATTGAATGCAATGCCGCTGTAACTCTCACACACCCCCTAATAAACAATCCGGGACTTTGGGGAAAACGGCGATACTATGTCATATTTCTCGAAATTTTTGGCACTAATTTGCCTCAGAATTCATTCAAAATTTCGTGTTTGGAAATGATTTTTCTGTTTATTTGTTCCATACTCCATAATACACGCCCACGAGTTGATGCATTATTTACTGTCCGGTTTCTCATAAGACATACCTACGTGTTAGGGGGGGATTTTAGCAAACGTACGGTGTAATAAAAGATCAATATGTACGTTACAAAACATATTTAGCTTAATAAAGCTGTAGCAACACAGTAGGTTTTTACATTTCCAATAATTTTAGCCCTCAATATATTTCTCACTACTTCAAGTTTCCTTGCATGAAAAATATAAATAACATAATCTTTTACTATATTTCAAAATCCTGTCGCCGAAAAATAACAATCGGGTAATATGTTCTTTTAATTGTTTGTGCTCTATACGAAGTCTCTGTAGCTTCCCATATCTTTTATGTACTGTCTGAAATAAAATTATGGAAGAAGATTAAATTGGAATTTTCTTCAAATAGTTTCACAAAGTGAAGGGACTCTAAGTCCTAGTTGCATATATTATCCCTATACGATGTATTTCATGCCAATTTCTAATTTAATGACAGAATTTCGCCTAACTTGCGGTGACAAATCAAAGATGTCCGATAACGTTTAAATAACATACGTAATACGAAGTAGACAAAGTGATAAGTAACTTCAAATCAGTGTTCATTTATGGTGAATTTAATGCATAAACTCAAATCATAGAAATCCATAGTCATTCTCCCAAAATATTTCTTGGAGTTAGTACTCATTCTCAATTAATTGAATAACATTTCCTGATATCCATTATATTGATTTCAATATGATAACAACAACATAAAGTACTAAATAAGTCTAATGCCTTCAATTAAACGATTGTCTTAAACTGTCTCAGCTTGTATTCTGTTATATCTAAATGAGTGGCTTGAAGTGCTCAGGTTTTACTTACAAAGATATGATCAAGTGGTGTATTAGGGAAGTTTTCTAAAAATTATTTCCTCTTCAAAATACTAGTGAAGCTAAAATATAACTGCCACCATGGTCGACTGTGAGTCAATAAAAGTCGCAAAATTACTATAGACTGTAATATTCTGACACTCGTTTATATTTTTGATTATTTTCCTTAATCTACCTCAAAATCTCAATCTCAGAATACAAATTATCCTGTCAAGCTCCCTCTGTATATGCATATTTTAGTAACTAATCCATTATTCACACAGTAGTTAAGTATTTAATTAGGCAAATCCAAAGCAGGTGTAAGTTATTTGGATTATACTGTATATCTTATTGGTCATCCGTCATGTACCAGGGTGGCTGGTTTAATTTAAATTTTGCCAAAATACTATTGAAAACTATTTATTACAAGAGAACATACATTCCTACTAAAGAAAGCTTATCTTGTGGGAAATCAGCTTTCTTCACATACACTATTAGTGCAGTGATGTGTGTAGGACAAAACGTTCGACTTATTAATATGACTTATTTATATGACTTCCTGTATAGAACCAGTCGCTAGTGAGCATCAGATTAACTTTCGTGTTAGTCGGGACCAATCAAATCCTTGCAAACCAACAGCTGATAAGTCGTATGTGTTTGTAGATATACAGAGTCGATTTTATATCGACGTTTTCATGGATTCATCACTTAAAATTTTTACACATATATGCCATCAAGATACTTCAGTCTAACATATTAGTTAAGATTTGTTAGTTGCGAAAAAAAACTTTTCCACAGAAATTAGTTGATACAGCACTTTTTGAACCTCATTTTCTTGTGGATTCGAAATAATATAAAAATAAGCAAGACAAGTAGTTTAGCAAACAGTATGTCTTCAGCGAATTCACCGATAGCGCTACGGGAAAAAATAGGCATATAGATTATATGCATCTTTGCCATCGACAACGATTTTGAACCACCTCACCAACAGTTTCCAACCAATGTTTCTTAGCATCTTGACGACGCCAGTCAGGCACATCACAACCCCCCTACGTAGCTCCAACCAAGAGTCAAGAGAGATTGATTCCGTGAATGTGAGGCATGGTACTGTTGATTGAATAAGGGGCGGTAGTGACTTCCATCTTGGAAAAAAAAACTTATTTTGATAAAGCCACACAGTGTTATACAGTAATATTTACTGATGACAACGTTTCGAGCACAATTTATTGCTGATAATCATACCTCCATGCGATTACAAGCAATAAATTGTGCGCGAAACGTCATCAGTATATATCACTGTATAACAGTGTGATTTTATCAAAATAAATTGTATATGTGATGGAATTATCCCCTAGCACAGTGCCCAAGTTTTATTATTATTTCAATGATTACAGTGACATTTGTAAAAAATTATATTTATAAAATCTCAGCGATATTGAAATGAGTAATTCTAACGTTTCGTTCGGCAATATGGTCCGAGCTTCTTCAAGGAAATTAATCGTAATTACCATAACAGAGGTTTATATAAAAGGAACATCTTTTGTTTTTAAAAACTGTTCAATCATGAGTCGTAAAACAAATATCATTAAGTAAGTATAATAAACAAAATTGTATGAGGTGTGATCAAAATTTGACCTCGGACTTAAAAATATTGGTCTAAATTTGTTATACACATTAAACACAGTGTGTATGTGTGTGTGTGTGTGTGGGTGAACAGTTGTAAACAATTTCTTAACGTCTCCATAAGTAGATATAGACAGTCAGGAACTTTGACCAAGTATTATTAATTAGTGATACATATCCATTCTTATTTATTAATCAGGATTTCCTATACGCCAGCTAACATCACACCTTCATGTCTGTTCAAACTGTAAGTATCTAGAATTTTATGATTAGACGTATTTTCAAAATTATGGTGTTTAGGATTAGCGTTTAGTTGAAGCACCCTGTCAAACTTATTACTTTGTCTTCTTTCTGAAAATTGAGCTGCTTTATTCGACCTACTGGAGTTGTCAGGTAACCTTGGTGAACTGGTTGCGACTAATAGTTCTGTACATATATATGTCCAAACGAAGTTCATTTCTCTATTTAATTCTAATAGCCTCATCAAATATTACTAATTAAAACAATTAGTCCCTCTGATAAATTTGAATAAGACATTTAGAAGACAAATTTCACCAGATGATATCTTCATTTCGTAGTTTCTCTACAACCAACCGCTTTACAACTAGCATGGCTGGTTCACAATAATCAAATAAAATAAAATGCATTACAATTATTCACTTATATAAAACAATAGTACATACTAATGACCAATCATATTTAAATAGGTCAAATAGTCGTCCATGTTAGGCGACATTAATTGAAGTCAATTGTTTTTTTTGTACTCATAGTTTAGGATGTATGCGATGATTAATCCAAAGTGCTTCCATCACCTTCAATAACTTTGAATTATAATTATGTGAAATAATTGTGAAACAGTCATTAATATGTCTGTCATTCTGTTTTCGACATAGAACTTTGCATATATGTGCACCAGTTCAAGTTGCCACACTCCCTCCATGTAGCACACAAAGCAAGAGAAGAAAGTAGAAGAAATGCATATTAGAGACAGTAAACAGAGGTGTGAGACAAAGGAAGAGTAATAACGAAGAACAAAACAGTTTCATTGGAAATCACAGGGAGTGGATGCATCTGCGCCACTGAGAATGATTTTGAGCCATGTCACCAATTATTTCTAACCATTGGTTTTTTATCGTCCCGAGGAGTCATTAATATTGATTTTGTGACCTGACACTAAGTGTTTTGCAATGAATGATGCTGGATTTCCATTGAAATTAACTGTATAGGGATTTTCTATGTGTTTTAATAACCATTTTGGAACATGTTCTTTTCGACGACATTCGAACATTCTATTGGTTCTACCTATATAAGTGTCACCGCAACTTCAGATAAACTTGTGGATACAGTTTGAAGTAGAGTCTACAGAATTTCGTTCTTTAATCGTAGGTTCAGGGATGGAGAATGTTCGAGATGTGAGGGAAAGAGATGCGGCGTAGAATGTACGTCTAATGGCTGACCGAAGTCTTTCAGGTGTCAACTGCATAATCTGGTTACCCTTGAATGGTAGGTTAGTGAAGATAGCTTTTTCTGGTACAGAAGCTGTCTTTTCTAAATGCGGTCTATCCTTAGTGTGACAATTGATAAAGTTTTTTGGATAACCATCTCAATCGGTGTAACTTCACAGCCTCGTTGATTGATCTCCCCTCCTTACCTAGCACTCGACCGATGCATAACCTCAATATTGCTCACCTTATTATACCACTTCACACGAAAGATAGAATACAGTCACCAATGCTTATATGTAGTAACTTAATCACAGTCCTTCAGCATGAGGTGCTGTTTACATTATCAAGTGGGTCTATTGGTAAAGATAACAAAACCATGTGTAAACTTTGGATTTGATATGTGTATTAAATTACAAAAAACAGAATGTGTTTACATAGTGAAAAAATTGCTTATCACATTTATGTTGATTTTGTCACTCCATGGGTTCGTGTGTGTATGTATGTGTGTGTGGGTGTGTCTGTTGGAACCAGGTCAAATTCTATCTTAGTCTGTCATTCTTATTCAAACAAATTCGATTCTATTTATTATGAAGTGCTTTTGATGTGCGATGTTCTTTGTGATTTCTGAAATTTTTTTTCTCTGAATGATTTCAATATTGCTAAAAATCAATTTTTTGGTCTGATTTTATAGTATATAGACGTATTACTGGCAATTTTTCAGGCTGTTCTAATTTGATTGGATTTCTCAGCGATAGAATAGAGGCGCTATGGGGTTCATTTCTTCTTGTCTGGTTTTCTGGTATTTTATTTATTTATTTAAACGCAGAAAAAAACTTGGTACAATATGGCACCAAGAAAGAATCGCCACACAAGTTGTGTGAGGGCGGAGATACTGCCCGGGCGCCCAGACCGAAGCAGGTGGTTTTATTAGGGGACCAACCCCGAGCCTTTGACTTGGAGTCTAATCCGCAAGGCAGCGGAGCAGCGTTAGGAGCTGCATTCCCATGGTTTCCGGTGACCCATATAGGTCCATACACCATTTGATCCGATTGGATACTGGAGCTCATGTACCCCATGGTAACTGCTTTTAGTCTGACCGCTTTCAAAACAACCTTCCTGACATGGTAGGACCTTCAGGGACATGAGTCCCAGCCAATTTAGCTTGTTGGGTCACTGCGGTATTGAAGCCCGACCACCACGGCAAGGTAGCAATTGTCGGCCGGGGGTTTTCTGGTTTTAAGCACATAATTTTTGTAGACAAACATTGCGAATCCTTTGACATTTAGTCGTTTACATAGACAATTTTGCTTCTTAGTGTGTCTGCTGGTGTATCTATTGTCTGTCTGTCTGTTTTCGACATAGAACTTTCCACCGATATACGCCAGTTCAAGTCTCCACACTCTCTTCGTGTACCACAAAAAGCAAGAGAAGAAAGTAGAAGAAATGCATATTAGAGACAGTAAACAGAGGTGTGAGACAAAGGAATAGTAATAACGAAGAACAATATAGTTTCATTGGAAATCATAAGTCACAAGGCGTGGATGCATCTGCGCCATTGAGAACGACCACTTTGAGCCATATCACCAATAGTTTCCAGCCATTGGCTTTTACCATCCGGAGGACCCCAACCAGTCAGGAAGTCTATACCTTCCTACATCACTGGCTTACACTAACTGTTGTATTTTCATTGGCTGATGAAGCCATGTTTTTGTTTCACCTCCGCTAGCTTTTTTCCAGCTTGACCGTATGTCAGCTAACATTGCCCATCAGTCGAGGAAGACGATGACTAGGCATACGTCGTAACACATGTCCTAACCATTTCAGTCTATGTAACTTCACAGCCTCGTCAATTGATTGATCGATCAATTGAGTACTCTTCTGATATTGTCTAACGTTTTTGATCCATATGAGGTCTGTATTTTGTATTCATAAATTTAGAGATGAAACACAATTCGTTAACCTTATACTGGTTACTTATAAAGATAAATTTTACATGTAATTTAATTCAATTTAAATACTACCCCGTTTGCCTAACCAATGATAATTGCCGTTTGTGCTTATGATTACTAGTGATTGACAGTTTTCTAAGTATGATTAGGCTTCAGTTTTCTTGAATTAATTTTCCATACTTATTGACTGAGGATAGAAGGATTTTGAAACCAATATTAATCCTTTCCTAGTAAATTTCTGTGCTTGTCCGAACCCTTTTTGAATAAATTAATTGAGGGTACTGACACCGCTTCTTCTTGGAGTTGACTCTAAGAGTTGATGACTCAGTATGAGAACTAATACCCCAGATCAAAATAGTTTATCCTTGGCTTGTGAACTCTCCGGTTATGTCCTCTAAGGTGTTCTGACCTGGTGGTAAGGAAAAAAGAAAATAGGTCAGATGCATAGTCAGTATTCAAAATTTTAAACATTGTAATGAGATCTCTCTGTCTGTCTACGGTATGACAGAGAGAAGAGATTGAAAATTCCTAATCTTCCTGAATATGCTAAATTAGTCATGCTAAGAATCATACATGTTGCCTTCCTTTTAACCCTTTCTACAATGTGTCCCTTTTAAGACAAGGACTGGTTCTCTGGTTACAGTTTTCCATTCTTGACCTCACCAGCGAAGATGTATATAAGAAGGTGAACATACCTTTGGTGATCCTAATAATAATTACCCAGACAAATTATTCAGGAAGTATGTAGGTGGATGTAAAAATAAAATTATTAATAATAATAGTAGTGATACTGGTAATAATAATAATAGTAATATTAATGACGACATGTATGTCAAACATGCACAGAATAATGACAACATCAACAACAGGGAATATAAATCATCAGTAGTAATTCCATACAAAGAAGGAACCTCGGAAACCTCACACAGAATTCTTAACAATACAGGCAGGAATAAAAGTGGTATTCAAACCCACAAACTCAATTAGAAATAAGCTTTGTCGGTTAAAGTATCCTGTGGAGCCAATTAAACAAAACTATTTAGTTTTGGTTCTGGAAATAAAGTTTAGACCTCTTGCTATCACCTCTCCTTTTTTGAAACTAATGGAGAAATTATTGCTACTAAAACTTGTTCCCTCCCTAAGCTTCTGAAATGATCCAAAGCAGTTTGCTTACAAAAAGGGTAGAAGTACTTTAGACGCTGCTGCTGTGTTTCATCACAACATTGTATCCTTCTTAGACAAAAGGGCCAAGTATGTCCGTTGTACATTCTTTGATTACACATCTGCTTTCGACTTTGTACCTAGAGGCCTTTTGTTAAACAAGCTTAGCCTTATACAAACTAAGTCCTGGGCTATCAACTGGCTGCACTCTTACTTCTCTAATAGGATGCAGTACACGACATATAATGGTGTATATTCCTCTGCTTTGTTTACTGAAGCTGGAGTTCCTCAGGGTGCAGTTCTCTCTTCATTTCTCTTTTCCTTCTTCTTACATGACTTACCTCTTCCAGACGAAATCAACTTCGTCAAATATGCAGACGACCTGACTGTTCCGCTTCCCGTTAAATCTCAGTCAGACTGTTTGAAATCAAACAGCTTCCTGTCGGACGTCAGTCAGTGGTCTAAACTAAATGGCCTCATGCTGAATCCCTCAAAATGCCAGACTATTGACTTCTCCTTTAGACATAAACGAGATTTATAAACACTGGTAAGTACTCATGAAGCCTATAGCATTAAGGGGACTAAAATTGAAACTAAGTCTGATGCAAAGTACCTCGGACTAGTTCTATATTCCGACCTTACTTGGTCATCTCATATCCAAACGATTTCTAAGAAAGTGTTCTGTCTAGCCTACTACATTAAGAAACTTACACTATCTGGAATCACCCAACCTCTACTTTCACAATTTGTCAACTCTCGTATCTTACCTATTCTACTTTACTGCTCCCCATTAGTCTTTCCTCGATCACTGAAAAAGGACTATACCATCCCGAGAAGGATGTTGAAGGTAGTTAGTAGGACTAGTGGTGAAAACTCAGTCAGCTCGTCACTACATTAGTAGAAAGGCATCTGAATCCACGCGAAAAATGGTCTAAAATCATACTCCCTGACCCCTAACATCCCTTCTATTCCCAACTGTCTCCTTGCATCTTTTTCATCAGGTAAAACCAGAAATCAGTACAAAATAATATATGCTCGTACAAACAAGTATAGGAACTCAACGACACCATATTTGGCCCGTGTTCTAAGTGATGGAGACAATGTTAAGAGCGAAACCTATGACTTGCTTTGTTGATAACATAATTTTGGCTCTTTTATTTTTTTTTTTTTCTCTCTTATTTGTATTCTATAATGAACACCTTTTTTAAACATACTTAACTACCTAAATTTATTAACATTGGCTTACTTTTTTGTGCTTTACTCTATTCCTTCTTTTGTGTATCTACTGGTTCTGAGTATAATTGCACTATGAGTATTACAAAATTGTCCCGTCATTAACCTTCGTGTAATATTAGTTTTGTGGTTGTTTTTTTATTCGGAAATATTAACTCTTGGTTGTGAATGCCACTATTACTTTTTTTTTTTTTTTTTTTTTTTTTTTATTACTCACTCTACAACTACAAACACCGCATTAGAGCTGACAATAAAAAAAACTGAAATGTTTATTTTCTGATTGTTTAATGTTGTTTCAATCAAATTAACTGATCATCATGGCGATAAACATTCTCAATATCATTTCATAACTTCTTGTATGATTATAGCTATTACTGTTCACCACGCATAAATATATCATAGCTTCCACTATCCAATACTGAGATATTATTTATTATTGTTGTTTATTTTTTCTACTTGTTACATTTTTGTTTTATTTTTTTTTTTGTTTTTTGTTGTTGTTTTTTTTAATATTTATTTTTTGAAATACTCCTTTTAAATGTGCGATGAAATTAGATGCAATATTGTAGATATGTGCTGAGAACTCCACAGTATACCACTAGTACTGTTTCTATAATAAAGCAAATTATTATTACTATTATTATCCTATGAAGCCAATTAAACAAAATAATTTAATTTATCTAATACCCTGCCTGACTGCAATGTTTGTCAGGTCAAATACATAGGTCAGGGTAGTAGAACAGAGACAGTCAGACTAGCCGAGCATAAAAAATGTAGCAGCAAAATCTAGATTAGTTGACTTGAATAAGATAAGAAATCTAGAGAATAATTCAGCTATGGCACTCACTACATGGAATTATACACAACCAACCATACAATAGGATGGGGGTAAGATGACAGTTTTAAAATCTAACCGATATAACAGGGTGGAGGAAGAGATTAATAACGGAAGCTTTGCTTATCGAATCGACTGCAAACCCGTGTAATAGGAATGATTCAACACCTGTCTCAGATATCTAGAAAATTCTACTACCCCTACGACGACGACAAATAGGAGAAGACAAAGAAAACTGAAAAACTCAAGTTTCGAAGTTGTGTGATTATAATTGATGATATGACTATGAACAATAAATAAATTGTGTTCGAAACTTTGTCATTCAGGCAGTAAATAATACTGTTTCATAGCTGTGTGATATATCTAATAAACAAACTAATATGGAATTACTTACTACCACAGTGCCCAAGTCTTAGATATATATTAATAGATCTAAATAAGTCTGAGTTGATGAGAGTGTTATTCCCACTAATAATGATAATAATAATAATAATTTCCTTTATTCCAAAACAGCACTTGTGATACAGAATCGAATTCTCAGCATTTATTTTACTACAGTATTGCATCCAGTTTGCACATTAACAATAAATAAAATTCTACATAAACTATGGGTAATCTCAGTTAGTTATGATAACAACATATTAGCATGTCGGTAGTAAAACCGAAATTGAACAGAGTGTTTGAAGGTGTTAGAAAAGTAGATACTACCAGCATATTTACTGTCGTAAGCGGTAAGAAAAAGGTCTAGATATACAGAGTGTGAAAGAACGAAGAAGAATGTTTTAAGTAGAGTTTGTAAGGAAGAGAGAAACGTAACAGCACATAACAAAAAAAATGATAAATCATATGAGTTGGGAAGGCGTGATCCAGTTGTTATACTGACTATTTAATAAGTTATAGGTATCACGCCTATAATGCTTCCTTTATCACACAGAACACGAGCTAAGTAGGGTGTGTTTGAGTTTGTGTACTTGCTAGTGCGAGTATATATAGTTTTCTATATAGGCTTCTGGTCTGCCTGCCTGATGAGATAGATACAAGGGGAGAGTTGTGAATGAAAGAGGGTGGTGTGAGTTAGATAAAATGGATTTTTCACATGAGTCCAAGTGTCTGTCGACCAGAATATTAACAAGCTAGTTAAGTGGCACGTTGCTTACCTTGCTAACAACCTTTAACATTCTACGTAATAAGGTATAGTCCTTCTTCAGTAGCCCTGGAAAAACTTATGGGGAACAATAGAGAATAATAGGCAAAGTGGGAGAGTTAACGAATTGTAGGAGTAAGGGTTGGGTTGTACCAGAATGTCTTAACTTTTTGATGTAGAAGGTAAGATGGAATATTTTCTTAGAAATCATCAAGATATGAGACGACCAGGAAAGATCAGAAGATAGAATGACGCCTATGTATTTAATTTCCAACTTCAGTGCCATCAATGTTGCACACCTCGTGAGTGCTGACCAGTTTGTTTAGGTCAGATTTATGCCTAAAGGTGAAATTGACTGTTTGGCATTTGGAGGGATATAAGGTTAGACGGTTTTCCTTGGACCACTGGCTGATTTCTGATAAAAAGCCATTTAGTTTGGAGCAGTCACTTTGACATTTGATAGGCAAAGATGCAGTCAGACCGTCAGCATATTTAACAAAATTAATGTCATTTGAAGATGGTGGTAAGTCAAGTAGAAAGAAAGAAAGAAAAGAAAAGTGGGGAGAGTACAGCACCTTGGAGGACACCAGCTTCAGTGAGCACAGCAGGGGAGGTGTATTTACCTTTGTATACAGTGTACTGCATTCTGTTTGAGAAATATAGGAATGCAACCAGTTTGTGACCCAGGACAGGACTAGTTCCTAGGAGCTGATGCTTGCATATCCAATGCATGTAGGGTTGCGCATTTCGCTACATTGATCTTTCTCTTTCATCTCATTCAGAGTTGTTTGTTTTCTTTTCTGTTTCGCTTCTTGCAGATTTACTTCATGCCAATTTGCTTATAATCATCCTACGTGTGTGTGTGAAAGTATGTAATCACTAATCGACATCAAGGTTTCCAATATGACAATGATGACGCTGTACATTTGATATCTCTGTGAACACTGCGATCTCTCTTCTTTTTTGTCGTCGTTTGATCACCGAAATGCCGATATTTAATCCTAAAACAGTGACTAACTTTTTAACCTATGAAAAAGAAGAAAAAGTTGGCTTCCTGTGGAAAAAACGTTCAGAACAGAAAAAGGCCTACAAACGAAGATATTTTATCCTATGTGGAAATATTTTAGCCTATTTTGATAAAAAATTGGATAAAGAACCACTGGGGATAATATTTTTAGACTGTCATATTGTTGAAATGTTGGATGATTTAAAAATGGCTATCCGTTTCAGAGGTCCAGGGGAATTATGCCGTAGTTATATTTTGAAGGGGGAGACAGCTGAGGAGATAGAGGTAAGTGCATTTATAATTATTAATAATAATAATAATAGTGTGTGTGTGTGAGTGAGTGAGTGTATTGGTTTTTCTGTGAAGATGAATTCAGCACTATGGGATCACGCTTCTGGACTTCGATCCACTTATTGAAGTTTGAAAAACTATGTAGTATTATAAGCGTTTACACAATAATTGTGTGGGGGGGGGACTCATAACAAATTCCGTGGAAATTCAAGTGGTTGTTAAGTGACGTTTTATTGGTGGTTCCTCTTCATCATAATGTCTTTGTCTTTTTTCACGACAACATCACATACCTCCTTGTATTTATTTATTTATTTTTTTCCTTCACGTTCCCAGTGGAACATAGGGCCTCAAGCTAGTGGCTTGAAGTTTCTGTAGAAGTGTTTATTTTTACAGGATGGGGTTGCTAGCCTCATGCCCAACCTTTCCTCTTTACCAGCATTATTTCTGGCTTAGTGAGGTAAAGGAGTGCGTCTGTGGCCGGGGATCGAACCCCGGACCATGCGCATGGTCGGCGAGCGTCCTAACCTCTGTGCCATCGACGCAAAAAAACCGGCAACACCCGGTATTCCCAGCTGGTCATCCATGCAAGCACTAACCTGGCCCAACCTGGCTTAACTTCGGTGATCGGACGAGAACCGGTGCTTTCAACGTGGTATGGTCGCCGACCGTTGTATTTATAATTCATTCTATTTAAATACCACTTGAATGTGTTTCATACATTTTAGGGCTTCATCAGTCATGGATTCACAGTTTTACAAACTCGTCTACTCTTGAGGTTTTCCATCGGCTTTAAATTTACTTGGAGGCTTTGTGAAATAGATGTAATTTACCAGCAGGTATATATAGACAGTTGTGTGTCGGTGGTTCAGTGCTAGACTGAATACTTATTGGTCTAAGCACTCGGCTTTTATCCAGTGGGACCCAGCTTTAAATCTCACTGCGCCTATTTCAGGTTGGGCCACTCAGTAGTACCATCAGGCGTCACACGATATTTGTGTGGCTCTTAGTTTGGTACATAATGAAATAAGATGACAGTTTTAAAATCTTATGTCACTGGGTTTGAGGGAGGGAGAGATTGATAACAGAAGCTTTGTTTATCGAATCAACTGCAAACACGTGTAATAGGAATGATTCAACCCGGTCCAGCTGGATATCTGGAAAATTCTACTACCCCAACGACGACAAATAGGAGAACAAAGAAAACTATAAAACTCAAGTTTCGAAGTTGTGTGATTATAATTGATGATATGATTATGAACAATAAATAAATTTTGTTCGAAACTTTGTCATTCAGGCAGTGAATAATACTGTTTTACTGTATGATACATCTAATAAACAAACTAATATGGAATTACTTACTACCACAGTGCCCAAGTTTTACACATGTATAAACCTCGTCTACTTTACTAGCTGATTATTTATTATTTTTCATTAATTCCTTGGGTTCCGCGTAGAACTTTGGGATTCAGCAGTACATCTCGGTCGCATCCTGTTCCTCCCAGTCCTATTCAGCTAGCCCTACGATTTCCTACTTACTTTCTTCTTCTCCTCACACAATCTCTTCCGTGTCACCCTTGAATGGACGCCCAAATAACTGTTTCCTAATCGGATTACACTCCTGGGCCCAGAGCACGATGTCATCCAACGGTCTCCTCATCGTATGTCCGATTCATCTCCATTTTGTTCTCGGAATATTCGTCAGCTAATAGGGTTCTTGATCGCTTCGTTCCTACCCACACTGTTTTGTTTCTAATTCTTCCTGGCCAACCATCTTATCTTCAGTATGGAGCATCGAAAGGCTTTGGGAATGCTTTTGGTGATACGCTTAGTTTCGGACCCGTAATGGAGCATTGACTAATTTAACAGTAGTGTTAAAAACCCCAATTGTGTTCTTTTTGCTGAGTACAGAAGATTTCAAAACTGATTTCAAAGTGATGATAGTCTGTCTTGTCTTTCCAATCCGACCTTTCACACGTTCATCCGTGCTGTCTGTCTGCATTTTAAACGATCCTGACTAGATAAGTGCAAGAAGTGACTACCTTCAAATTTACCCCGGCATTAGTGATTGGTGCTGGTTTTTGTCACTGTTGGTTGCTTATCTTCATTATTTTCGTCTTCTCTATGTTTGATTAAAGTCCTGTTTACTGTGCTGCTTCAGCTAATTCGTTGATCGTCGCCTGTTAATCTTTGAGTTTGTGTGACATTGGACACAAATTGTTCACGAGGTCCAGAACTTCTAGAATCTTCTTATCGGTGGTCTAGAGTATTCTTGTCTCATCGCTCCCCATAGTCTACTGATAGTAGTAAACACGGTGAAGAGCGAAGGTCTGGTGTGAGGCTAGCAAACCCTACCCCATAAAAATATGTCCCATCGAATGTTACTCTGAGTCTTTGTCGACATAATGATGAAACTTTAGCAATCACCGATGAGCCATTTAGTTAACTAAAACTCATTGGACATTAACTTTTTAAATACCAGTGGTGAACTGATGTTAGTTAGAGAGCCATTGAAAACCAACAAGAAGTACTGGACATCTGTTTTGTTCTCCTTAGTTTCGGACTCTTCAGAAGTATCCACCCATAAACTTGTGAAACCGGGGATCGAAGCAAGGACCTTCAGGTTACACACGGCCTAGTCCGTTGAGGTGTCAGCCGCTTGGATTTCTTCAGGGTATGAAAAATTCCTATTTTGTATAATTAAGGATATATAAGTCAGCAACAAAGAGAACCCCTCTTCTTATAACTTCACTTCAAAGCTGCTATACAGCTATTATTTAGGGGATTTATATATACATACAATGTTTACTTGACAACAAAAGTCCGAGGTTACTATCAGTTACTAATTAACAAAGTTAGATAAAAGTGTGTAAGTAACAGCAACGTTCGAAGAAGTGAGAATAATCTTACATAATCAAGGTGGGAAAGCAAGGCAAGCTTTCACTGCTCTCAAGTACTTGTGGAAATCAACAGTACTCAGCAGGAGAAAGTAAGATGCGGATTTTCAACTCCAATGTGAAGTCAGTGCTACTATACGGATCAGAGATTTGGTGCCGCGTCACGAAGGGCACTTCTAACTACCACTACTACTACTACTACTACCACAGACCTCCATCAACAGCTGTTTTCACTCAATACTACTGAAGATCAGATGGCCGGCCAGAAAAGATCAACAACAGGGATCTCTGGCAATGAACCAACGAACCAACTCAGCGGGAACCAATTGTGCAAGAAATATGCAGGAAGAAATGGAAGTATATTGATTGGCCATACTCTAAGAAAACAAACCATAAATTGACATCACACCCCACGCTGTTGCTCGAGTGGAAGCCGAATAGGAAGTGGTGAGCTGGTCGTCAGTGCGAGGATGACATGTAGGAGAAAGAGGAAGCAAGTAATGTGAAGAGGAGAAGGATTCATGTAGGCAGACGTGGAGCCAGATGATGATAAAGTTGGCGGGGAACCGAACGTAATGGAGACGTGTGGCTGAAGCTCTGTGTTCCTCTGGTAACTAAATGAGACAATAATAATAATAATCAAGATGGTTGACAGCTGATTAGTTAACTGATGAATTATTGTTTGGAAATAATCGATTAGAAACAAGAGAACCAAGGATTGACAATGAGTTGCAAAACACGAAAATAATAATAAAATGGACTACGCACAGCTGATTTTACACTTACTCAGGAAAACAAAAAGAGAGAAACAAATTAGCACTAACGTAACGGTAGAAGACGGGGGACTTGGTACACCTTATCTTCAACGCACTATTTGCACAGATCTTCCGTGTTGTACTACTTCTGGCCTTCGCTCAGATTGTATCTCTTTGTGTTTCTTTCACAGCTCTCATGTATCTCCTCAACGGTGTATCATTTGCTTTCTCTGACATCAAATCTATCTCCTTGCTATTTGATGTTTTTATGCCGATGAACGTCTCTTTATATACTACTAGTAAATCTTACCAATAGCACACGTCACACTAACTTCATGGTAGTGAAAAAGCCCAAATAAAAAGCTTCAGAATACAAAGTTCGAGTTTCTCCCTATAGATTGCTAAAGCTTTGACTGAATGAAGAAGATGGTAGCAAAATCCTCTCGAACGCCTTGTTCGTACGTAGTATATGACTTTGAAAGTAGTCTGCGCTGATAACAGCATGACCAGAAGTAATAATACCCTCCAGAATTGAGCTGTTGACTATTCTTTCTGCATCCTCCTTTTTCACAACTTTACTGGGAAGTGTTCATGGGTGCGCCTAGACAATGTTGTCAAAAATAAAAGTACAACCAAGCTGTTCGATAGGATTTCGTCTACATCTTCATGTAGCTGAAGCCTTAGCAATCCGTCAAGAAGAGAGAACCCTGAACTTTGTGTTCAGAAAGGTTTTCTTATCTATCCTCTTTTACTATATCGTGGCCTTGGTGTGAATTTTTATTCTGGTGGGTATTTGTATGATAAATTCTATCTAGTCCCGTCTTAGATGGTTGGAGGCAATCGGCAGGAAGCCTTGCCGGCACCTAGGTTTCGTGCTAATTGGCACTCACCAGTCAGCAAGGCATATCTGCAACCTTGAAAGAACAACTCATGTCCCTTCTGAAATTTAAACCCGTGTCGCCCAGTGAGTGCTGCAGTCAGAGACGTTTCCACTGAGCTATTCGGGCTCACAATTGATCTCTTGTAGGATTGACTGTACTGGATACTTTGATGGGACACTAGTACCTAGTGTGATATATCCTAGTCCTTTCTTCGGTGCAGACTGATTGTGCATCGTGATAGCGAGCTATCTAGAATGGTAGCCACATTTCAAACCTGATTGATAGAATTCAGTCTGCACCAAAGAAAGGACTCTAGACATATGACACTAGTTACTAGTGTGCAATCAAACTGGTCCCGTTGTATCAGGGTTGAGAGAGAGATTAATAACGGAAGCTTTGTTTATCGAATCAACTGCAAACACGTGTAATAGGAATGATTCAACACCGGTCCAGCCGGATATCTG